GAGAGTCACTTTCTGTGGCCCTGTGGAAACCTCCCAGCCATGTCCCCTCCGGCAGGAGTGGGGCAGGAATCCCCTTGCCTTCCACCTGCTTTTGTCGAGGGTTATTTTATGGTCAGTGCTCGTTTTAGTTTGTTCTGTTGGTTTGTTGTTTTTTAAATAAAAATAAAGGATTTTCTCTCCCCTCCCCTTTCCACAGAATCAGTGGGTTGGGTTGGAAAGACCAGGTAGTGCCAACCCCCCCTTACCATGGGGGCAGGTTTCTTTCCCAGGTGGTGATGACATAAAACCTGTGAGCCCTGACCCAGCTGCACCCATCACCCACACCCGCACTTCAGCTGGGGTTTTGGAGCCTCCCCTCATGCTCCTGGCACAGCTTGGACCAGTATCCCTGCTAAAGATGCTGCCTGCTGGTTTTGGGTGGGCAGGGCCTGTCCCCCAGGGATGCTCTGGGGCTGGAGGCTGATTTATCAGTGAGGTTCTCCTCCTGATGGGCTCATCCATTACCCTGTGCTCTCAGGTTGGTGCTGGGAGGAGTTTTCCTTCCTCTGCAACAAAACCATCCTGGAGCCGAGGAATCCTGAACCAATTAACCCTGGGAAGTTATGCTGGCCTAGTTTTTTTGAAGTCTGCTTTGATTACCTGCCTGCTCTGGCTGTTAATCGATGTTTAATGCAGCTTGCTGCATTTTTATCAGGGCTGTAAGTTATTGCCCCATGCTGCCTCAACAGGGGAGGTAATTCATCTAAAGGAGGGCCCCTGGGAGCATGGCTGTAATCTGCAATTTCCCATTGACTATAATTGAGGGAATGTCTGGGAGGGGTCCAGGAGCCCTTGGAAATGCACCTTGGCTGGGAGCAGCAAGAGGAGGCTGGAGGCTTTGGTGGTTGCTAGTCACAGCCCCAGGCTGTGGTGGGACTGCAGGGATCTGAGGGGGCTACAGGAAAGCTGGGGGGGGCTTTTTATAAGGGCTTGTAGTGAGAGGACAAGGGGTGATGTCTTTAAACTGGCAGAGGGGAGATTTAGGTTAAGCATTGGGAAGAAATTCTTCATTATGAGGGTGGTGCGAGCTGGGCCCAGCCTGCCCAGGGAAGCTGTGGCTGCCCCATCCCTGGCAGTGTTGAAGGGCAGGTTGGATGGGGCTTGGAGCAGCCTGGGCTGGTGGGAGGTGTCCCTGCCCATGCAGGGGGTTGGGACTGGATGATCTTTAAGGTTCCTTACAATCCAACCCAGTCTAGGATTCTGTGATGATGCTGAACAACAGAGGTACCTTGGCCTGGGGAGGGGGGTGTGAGAGGAGGATGAGGATGGAAAGGGACACTTGGTGAAACAACGAGCAAACCAGCTCTTGGGAGGCTCTGCAGTAATTGGTGGCCCCTCTCTGTGATTTTGCTGTTTTCTTTAAGCATGAACATCTTCACATGTTGAATATTTCCATGTAGGAAACCCCATTTCTGATGCCTCCAGTGCCAGGTTTCTTACTATTTATTCAATAGTAAAATTTATCATCTTGAGAGTTGCTAGAGACTCAAAAGAGTTTTATCCCTCCTCCTGGGCCCATGGTCTCCTCTTGAAATGCAGGTTCCCCCCTGGCTGTGGGGTGCTCCCCCATTGCAGTGCCATGGCCCTGGAGGGGATGCTTAGCAGGCCCAAGGAGTTTTCTTAAGCTCAATAAGAATTAAGTGTAAATTTAATTAAAGTTTCCAATTCTCGTGCTATACTGGAGCATAACAGAAGCCTGGTCTGGTCTTTGCCAGTTTAAGCCAGATCTGGAGGGAGAGAGGGGTTATCAATAATTAACTGGGGTAATCTAGTGGAGAGTATTAGGGAGTTAATGAAAATGTGAAATAGCTTAATTATCTTGCATGTGGCTGGGAGTGATTGAGGTGCTGAGGAAGAGGAGGTGCTGCACAATCAGCTGCTCAGAGGCTGCTGTTCCCAGTGTGCTTCCAGGATGGTGTTGGGACCCAGCTTGTGGCTCTGATGGACCAGCCTGGAGGGGGTGCATGTGGGTTGTCACTGCCCCATTGCTGTCCCCAGGGAGGGGACCAAGAGTGTGGCTGTGCTGGTGGGGGAAGGTCCCTGTACCCATGGCACAGCCCATGGGAGCTGCTGGCTGCTGCTCCAGCAGCACCTGTGCAGATGGAGTTTGGGAATCCCTGTCCTAACACGGGCTTTTATTAAAAAGTCTATTTTAATTACATTTTAATGGAGCCTAGGATGATGTGGTTGGCTTTAATTAAAGCTGACACTGCTCCTGTGTGCTGAGGAGCCCGTGGTGAATGGGATGAGTGCAGGAAGGTGCTGGTGCTGCTGGGTGCAGGTCTTCTGGGCTGCCAGTGGTGAGGGGGGTCCCTCTGCCACACAGACCCCTTAGAAACAGGCTTGGCAGTGTGGGGCTCAGCCTGGCCCTGGCTATCCCTCTGCAAAATGCAAGGGGGGGGGGGGAAACTGTTTAAATTATTTATTTGTTTAATGTATTTATTTATTTATTTAATTTTAGTGATTTTTTTTTTTTTTTCCTGGGGAAACCAGGCTCCTGGTTTTTCTTGCTGGTCCCTGCCCTGGTGCTATTGCTGGTGCAGGGGTGTTTCAGCTTCAGCCCCAGGTTGTGTCCCTGGGGAGCATCGTGATGGTGACAGCAGCAAAGCCAGACCCTGGTGGTTTAGGAAGGCTGAGCCATAACCAGAAATCCCTGAGCTCAGGTCCAGGCTGTGCTGGTTTGGGGAGCACAGGCTGGGAAAAGCTGCGTTTTGGTTTGACTTGGATGCTGGGATCACAGCATCCCAAGCATTTGCTGTTTGATAATAAACATGTGATTACCTCGTGACGGGAGGGACTGATGTAGGTTTTGAGCCCATGTTTGCTGAGAGAGGATTTGGGCAGGTGTGAGGAAGGGGCAGAAATCCCCCAGGCAGCCAGGGAGGTGCTTCAGAAATGCCCCAACCAGTCACCCAGAGCCTGGCAGCCCCCGGGCAGGTTTCTGCACAGAATTAAAGCAAAACAGGCTTTGCTGGCTTCGTTTTAGTGGGGGAAGCCCAAGCAGCAGGTTGGAGATGGGCTGGCAGCAGAGCTTGGAGATGTGTGGTTGGTTTTCCCTTGGCCCTGGGCTCCCTCAGGGAGGGGACAGGACGTGGGGCTGTAAGAGCCTGATCCTGGTTTGGGAGATGCTTCCCAGCAGGAAGCCCCTCTGGTGAACACAGTTATTTAGGGGAGAGGGAAGCTGCTGAGAAGTTTGGAGGAACCACCCATTGCTGGCCCAGGATGTAGGTACCTGAAGGGCATCCTGCCTGTTGGGTGGTGACACCAGGGACAAGAAGTGGCTCTGAAAACACTGGCACTATCAAAAAAAAAACCAACACAGAAAAGAAAGAGGTTGGAGAGTGAAATCCACAAGAGGTTTTTGCCTCTGGCTGGGGGGAGGGAGCTGTGCAGGGCCCAGCATCGCTTGCAAATGCTTTTAATAAAGTGTTCTTTGCTGCGTCCAGGGGAAAAAAACCCAGAAACCTCAAGTCTTTTCCCATTGCATGAGTTACAGATGCTGCTGGGCAGGGCCCTGGCTGCTGCCTGGCCCGTCCCCTTCTGTGTGGGGACCCAGCTCCCCTGAGCTGCTGGATGGGGAGCCCTGAAACACCCCATCCTGCCCCAAAATGCCTCTGCCAAGAGCCGGCCCAGCTGCAGCCCCATGGGAAGCTCCATCCTTGTCCTCCTGCTTTGCCAGCGTTCCCACAGGGATGTCCCCAGCAGGGTGTTGGAGCTCTCCCTGCCCTCACCTGGGCCAGCGTGGCCCATTGCAGCGTTGGGTTGGACCAGCTCTGCCTCTGGAGCTCTGACCGTGCCCCTTTCTGTCCCCAGGAGCCTGATGCCCCGCACGCTGGAGGGGCAGATCACCATGGAGAAGACCCCCAGCTACTTTGTCACCAAGGAGGCTCCTCGGCGCATCTACAACATGTCCCGGGACACGAAGCTGATCGTGGTTGTGAGGAACCCGGTCACCCGGGCCATCTCGGACTACACCCAGACACTCTCCAAGAACCCCTCCATCCCCAGCTTCCAGGCCCTGGCCTTCAAAAACCTCAGCACGGGACTGATCGACACGAGCTGGAGCGCGGTGAGGATCGGGATCTACGCCAAGCACCTGGACAACTGGCTCCAGTACTTCCCCCTCTCCAAATTCCTCTTCGTCAGCGGGGAGAGGCTGGTCAGCGACCCAGCCGGGGAGATGGGCCGTGTCCAGGACTTCCTGGGTCTCAAGAGGGTGGTGACAGACAAACATTTCTATTTCAATGAGACCAAGGGCTTCCCCTGCCTGAGGAAGCCGGAGGACGGCAGCAGACCCCGCTGCCTGGGGAAATCCAAGGGGCGGCCGCACCCCAAAATCGACCTGCAGGTGGTGCAGCGCCTGCAGGACTTCTACAGACCCTTCAACATGAAGTTCTATCAGATGACAGGGCAGGACTTTGGGTGGGACTGAGCCACCCACAGGGCACGTGGCCGCCCCAGCGGTGTGTGGCGCTAGGACTGTGGTCCAGGGATGCTCGTGGCCACTGTGGTCCAGGGATGCTCGTGGCCACTGTGGTCCAGGGATGTTTATGGCCATCGTGCTCCAGGGATGCTCACAGCCACCATGGTCCTAGGATGCTCACGGCCATCCTGGTCCAGGGATGCTCATGGCCACCCCACCAGCAACTTCCTCCCTTTGTTCTAATTTATATTGGACCTTTTCCAGCAAGAAACGGACCCTTCTGGAGTAGAGAGAAATATTTAAGAAATAACCCCACAGATGACCCCGCTCCTCTCCCTGACCAGATTAAATATTCTTCCATAAAAATCTTGCTGACCTATATTGGGCTGTTCTGGGTGGTGAGTGGGTGGGTGGGGGTGTGTGAGTGGGTGGGTGTGGGTGTGTGAGTGGGTGGGTGTGGGTGCGTGGGGGTGAGGGCTCTGCCATCCACAATAAAAGCTTTGGAAGCCCCTTGGCCTCGGGGTGTGAGGCTGGTGGGTTTTGGCTGAAGCCAAGTGTGATGCTCCCCCCACAAGCAGAGTGGGTTTTGCAGCCAGAAAATTCTGCAGGTATTTCCTAATGAAGAAAAACAATTAATGTTGGGAGTTTGGAATGAAGGCCAAGTGCAGGGGGAGGGAGCTGGGTCTCACCTACCTTCTGATGGGCTTTGAGTAACCCAGGTGACAGAGCAGGGCATTTCTCACCCTTTGGACAAAATTCCCTCCTTCCCTAAACCCACCCGGGCAGAGCAGATAAAAGCCCCAAACTCTGCCCTTTCAGTTCAATAATCTCCATAGATTGTTCAGCTCTGCAGCCACAAAGTGTCATCACGGGAGGCTGCAGAAATCAGTTTAATCTGAAGTAACTAGTTTTCCCTTAATTAAAGATGGGGAAAACATTTAATTAGCCTCTAATATCTTATTAGTAACTTGTGTTTGTCTCTTTAATGAGCTAATTATGTGTTTACAAGGGCCCTCAGGCCCTGTGTTGTTTGCAAATATGCTTTGGCTGTGGTTTCTTCCATCCTGCTGCATCCCAAAGGTGACCATCCCACCAGATGTCCTGCCATTGTCTTCCCCTCCTCACTGCTGCTGTCTGGGCTGATGGAGGTGACAGGTACTGCTTCCCCTGGGATGCACAGTGGGAACTGATCCCTTTCATCCCAGCTCCAATGTGGTTTTACACCTACACAAGGTGCTTTGCCCTGCACAGCTCTCCCTGCTCCCATGTCCTGGCACCTCCTTTGTGCCCACTGGAGGTGACAAGTGTTTTCTCTACAGATGCTCCAGGTTATAGCTGAGGTTGAGCACGTTTGTCCCATTCAGCCCTTGGGCTCCTCTGGTCACTGGGGGGACAAGTGGCATGTGCAGGGCTGGGTTTAGCATGATGTTGAAGTGAAATGCAACCAGTTGTCCCTTTCTGGGCAGGGAGTGGGACGTGATGGTGCTGGTGTGTGGAACATGGTCCTGTCTGTCTGTAGGGCATCATGATGTCCATCTGTGGGGCAGCACGGTGTCTGTCCATGGGGCACTGTGGGATCAGTCTGGGCATGTGGGAGTGGCTCTGGTGACAGATGCAGATGCCACCACGGTGGTGGCAGAGCCTGTAAGGATCCTGTAAGAGAACGGTGAGAAGAGATGAAACCCACCCCGCTTTTCTGCCAGCTGCAATCCCAGAGCCCTCTGAGTGATGTGACCATCGCTAGGATGGGCTCAGCACCCTGTACCCAGCGCAGGGTCCCCTGGCCATGTGTGTCCCCCCCCCAACCCCGGGGCCACCGACCCTCCGGGGCTGGATGTCGAGCGGCTGGAGCCTCTTGTCACCCCGGCCGGCAGCTCCGCATGATGGACTGTGCTCTGCTTGTTTAGGTTTTGTTTCCAGCCACGACATTCGACCAAATTATTCTCGGCGAAGGGCTTTAAAGTTTCCCAAGTTGCCTGTGAAAGCCTGGAAACGCTGATAGTGATCCTATTTCCCAGCTGAGTGACTGCATTCAGCCCCAGCCCCATTGAGATGCAAAACGTTGAGGGTCCCGGCTCTAAAGATGGTTTCTGTCTGCCCTGTGAAAGGGGGCCGTACTTTTTTAAAGCCCGGGCCTTTCTCAAGCCTCACAATGCCATATAGACTATGCCATTTAAAGCATCTGAAGCGACCCAAAATGTATTGAAAGCTCGCTTTGCAGACTCATTAAGGCGACTCAATAGGTTCTGGCAAATCCCGTGCCAGGGCTGACCGCACGGATTAAGACTTTTGAAGTGTTACACAAACCCCCTGCTTAAACTAATTGCTGCCCCGCAGCTCATGAGGTCAAGTATTTGTATTCATTGCCTCCGAGAGGAGCCACTTACGGGGCTGTCCAGGTGAAGTCTGCACTTCATTACACCAAGACAATAACAGGACAAGACAATAAAAGCGGCTTTGGGTAGGAAGGATGAAACCTCCCGGCTCTTGCTCTGAGCCTCAGCACAGGCTGCTGTCCCCACGGCTGCCTTTTGGGTCACTGCTGCTGCTTCCAAGGGAAGGGATGTGCTTCCACCCCAAGCAGCTCCGGGCAGGGTGGTGGCTGAGCTGGTGGCTCTGCCAGGATCCGTGTGGAGTTGCTGCTTGGTCACCTGCAGCAGGTGGGACACAGTGCCCAGTATCCTGCTCGTGCTGTGCCCTGTGGGTGGGTCCACCCGGTGTCGGGGGGGTTCCTGCTGGAGCAGTGAGCTGGTGTGCAAGGGGAGGGGTGAGGTGTGAGAAGGGTGGGCACGGTTGGAGCTGCCATGGCTTCATATCATGGCATGTCCTTCACCAGGGTTCCCTGCACTGGCAGGACGGGGATCCCATCAGGTGCCAATGCCAACTGTGCTTCTCATGTCTATCCAGAGGAGAAACCAGCCCATGGAGGCCCAGCACACCTCTTGTGCCACCTCCAGGAGAGCTGGGGGCTGCTGAGGAAAAGAAACTTTGCCTCTTTAGGTGCTTTGGTGGAGCTTATTTCCCTGGTAACAGGCAGTAGAGCCTTAGGGAAATCTAACCTGAAACCCCTTTTGCAGTGGTTTTTGTCACCATGGGTAGCAGCCCCTGGAGCTCAGCTCTGGGGTCCTGCTGCTGGGCTCAGGCAGGGCTGGGGGGCTCACCCAGTGGGACCTTGTGATGCTGCTGGGAAGTGGCACCCCTGGGGACCACCAGCACCCAGCAGCTGGCTGGGGCTCTGGTGCTCTGCAGTCCCTGTGCAGGAGGTGCCACAGCAGCAGGAACTGTTCAGAGAGCCTAGCAAGCTCTGGCAGAGGCTCAGGGACAGGCCTCACCCCTGCATCTTTCTACACGAGACCTCTGGGAATAAAGCTATAAAAAGCTGATGCTGAGCTGTGCTGGTGCCTGCCCTGTGCCTGCTGGTGTGCACTGCTGGGTGGGCTGGCATGGCTTTTGTGACTTCCCCCCCTTTGTGGTGTCTCTCTCAGGCTGCTAAAAATCCAGAAACCTGGAAGCTGCTGGGAGAAATGTGCTTGAGAAGTCAGGTGAGCAGCCCATGTCTCCCTGCTCCCCAGCACGTTCTGATGCCTCCTCAGGGAAATATTTCTCCATGAGCTGCCACGGGTGGCTGTGGTGGCCACGTCTGCTTGCTCAGGGGGTGATGGCAAGATCTCCCACACTGCCAGAGCTGCAGAAATGCTGCTGAGGCACCAGGTTATATATGGGAAGAGCCAGAGAGATGGAGCTCCAGCTTTGCTGCCAACTGTGAAATGAGGTTTTAATCCCTGTCTCAGTTAACCAAAGTTTCCATTTCTAACCCCATTTTTGTTTTGAAAATCCAACTATCCAGAGCCTTGTGGTTCCTGTGCCCTGGGCCTCCCCCTCCAGAAGTCAGGAAGAACAGGGTTGCAAGACTTTCCAAAATTTGTAGTTACTCCTTTTTCTTTTCTACCAAATGTAGGAGGCAGATGGGAATGAAAAAAATAGTGGTGGGGGGGAGGAAAACCCTCTAAAAGGAAGAAATTACAATTTCCCTGCCTGTGTGTAGGTCTGGAGATCCAGGAGAGCAGCAGGGCTGACTTGCAGTTACATATTTCATCTTGATGTACCCCAGGTGGGGCTCGTGCAGCCGGGGTGTGGGGGCACCTGGGGGCTATAAATGTGGGAGGGTCAGAGACTCAATCCTTCCTGCAGGATCCTCACCAGCTGTGGAGGGTGCAGAGGGTGTCCTGGCTCAGGGAGCAGGATCAGGCGGGTAAGGGGGGTTGCTGGGGAGGTCAGGCATCCTTTGTGGGGGGCTGTAGGGGCAGTGAGGTGTTTGGGGATGGAACAGTGTGGTCACACACAGGGAGTGTATGTGGGGGCTGGTGCAGTTCAAGCTTCCAGTGTTGGTGCTTGGTGTCTCCAAGAAGAGCTTGGCTTGTCCTGTGGTGCAGCCCAGTGTCTGAGTGGTTGGTCTGGGGTCCCTGGTGCTTCTTGTGTGGACCATGGGGGTCCCGTGGCTCTGGGGGAACGGAGCAGCATAGAGTGAAAGGAGCTTTGCAGAGTGGAGAGCATTGCCTGCAAACCTCTGCCTTGTCCTCTGCTTGAGGATGTCCAGGGCCCTGATGCTTCTTGCCACAGGTTGTTCTCCCTTCCCTGCTGGCACAGGAGAGAGCTCCAGGCATGTGGAGATACCCTCTGTGTCCCATCCAGGGCTGTCAACTCCACTGCCTTCTGCTCTGGTTTGGATCTTGATGTGATCCCAAGACACAGAATAACCTCATGCTGTGTTCCCCAACAGCCAAGAAAATCCCCAGGGAGTGCCAGGTCTGGCTCTGCATGGATATTGGTGCTGGGAACCAGTCCTGTGGCTGTGGCTGGGTGGTGGGGAGGTCTGGGGACTGGTACAGGAGGGTGAAGCTACACCTGACTTTGCTTTGCACATAAACCTGCACAGAGGTGTTTATGCAGAGACTGCTCAGGGACTTGTTCTGCTTCTTTAAGCTTCATCCATTCACCCAAAACTTCCC